CCTGGGCTGCCCGCGGGAGTGGGCGGGGTGGGACCTGAGGGGGCGGAGCTTGTGAGTTCGAGCAGCCACAGACGCCCTCCCTTTGCCCCGTCCGCAGGTACGTCGGTGCCAGTACAGCTGGATGTGGGGCAGCTGCCCAGCCGACCGGAGCTAGCAGCCAAGCTCAGGATGGTGGACGATGGGTCTGGGAAGGTGGAGGTGAGAGGGCCGCTGGCCCGACCCAGGGAGATGAGGAAGGCTGCTTCACGCTGCTCAGTCAAACGAGCCAGGTACAGCCAGGTGCGCACCGCACACCGCCAGAGACAGGTGTGCCTGTGCATAGCCGCTGGGCACGGCCCGCTTGGACACAGTCATGCGCTAACTGCCCACAGTCACGGCCACAGTGCACAACGCACGCAGTCCCATTCAGACACGTCGTCGTGCCCTGCTATTGAGTGTATGGTACGATCACCCATATGCAAACACTGGCGCACCCACACCTTGTAAGGGTGCCTGGTCACAGACACACAACACTCATAGTCAAGAACAAAACTGCAAGTGTGAGACTACACGAACCACGTCACCCATGATCCAAGTCTCACACTCACATGCCAGTCACCCACAGGACCACCAGCGCAGACACTCAGCCCCGTGCAGCCCCGTGCTGTCCCCCACTTGCTTGTCCGGAGGTCTCTGCCCACCAGTGTTCGGGAAGGAACAGGGTTGGGAGGCCACTTTTCCAGGGTTCATCCCGGAAAAGGGTACAGTCTTCACTTGTGGGCTGACCCACTGAATAGGCCTTTGGGTTCCGTTGGGCCTCCACGGTTTTTCTCCCTGAGAAGTGGGGGTCGAAGCTGCGGCCTTCCCTGGCCCCTAGGCTGGCATGAGGATGGGTCCCCTCTGGTACCAGGACAGGATCCACCCAGGAGCGGGACTGAGGGACCCACCTGAGGGTCCTCGGTCCTGAGGAAAGAGGAGAGGCTGCTTCTTTCTCCAAGATTGTCTGTTGTATCTGCCCCAAGCTAGCGAGCGGGGAGGTCTGGGGAGACAGGGGGAGGCCGGGAGTGGGGGTTGGGGAGAGGGAGGACAGAGAAAAGGCGGAGGCAGACAGAGAGACAAGGGAAAACGAGGTGAGGGTAAGAGCAGAGAGATGGGAGGCCAGGGAGCGAGGAGCAAGGTGGCTGGAGCAGGAGAGGCTGGTGGGAAGGTCAAGAGTGGGTGGAGAGGGGGCGCAAACATGGGGAGGCCGAGAGAAGGCCAACCCCGGGGGCCTGGGTGGCGTGTGGCCGGACCTGCTGCTTCTGCCAGAAGCAGGTCCTAGATGCTCTGGTCGACGGGAGAGTGCCCCAGACAAAGCTCTCAAGCCCTGTGTTGAGACTGGATGCCTACTCTTCTAGTTCTTGTCGTGTGGGGGCACAGCGAGAAGGGTGTTGTCCCAGCTTTGCCAAACCAAACCAAACCAAGCCAAAAAGCTCACTGCCACCAAGTCGATTCCGACTCTGGGCGACAGAAAGAACTCACTCCCAAGATGGGTTTGGACCTGGTCTACTGGCTCCAGATCCCACGCTGCCGCCCCCAGCGACAAGGCACAATGACAAGTGTGAGGAAGTGTGTTTGACGAGTTGTCTTGGAACTGGCTTTCTTGTTTTGAGCACCACTAGAAGGAAAGTAAATTTTAAAAGATTTCCCAAGAACCTTGCTTTTCTGCCTAGCTTCTGCTGCCCTGTCCTGAGCTCAGAGCAGCCGTGTGGGCTGGCCTGCCCCTACCTGGGCCCCAGCTGGCAGGGGGGGCATGTAGTAAGGGGCAGGCTGCCCCCACTGCCTCCTGAGCCCTTACCACGGCTTTCTCCCCGGCACCACACTGAACTCAGAGCCCTGGCTGAGCAGGCCAGAGCAGGTGTGCTGGGTCCCCTGGGCTCTAGGGGAAGAGTGTCCCCCTCAAACCCCTGTGTGAGTCCAGCAGAAAGCCCAGGGCAGGCCCAGAGCTGGGGGAGAGCCCTGGGCCCATCTGGCTGGGACGGGCAGGTAGGCAGGTCCTCGTGAAGAAACCGCCCTGCTGATGTGTCTCCTGACCCCCAGGTGTGGTGCATCCAGGACGTAGGCAGGCAGCTCCTGGACCCCAAGCATCATGGGCAGTTGTGCGCAGACAACTGCTACCTTGTTCTCTACACATACCAGAAGCTGGGCCGCACCCAGTATATCCTGTATCTGTGGCAGGTGCAGTGGGCTGGGGGCAGGGGTGGGCGTGGGGTGGATGGTGGGCACGTAAAGCCTGAGAGCCACAGGCTGAAAGTGGCCTGTTGCAGGGCCACCAGGCCAGCCCCGACATGATCCAGGCCCTGAGCCGCAACGCTGAGGAGCTGGACCTCCTGTATGTCAGCGCTCTGGTGCAGGTGCACGTGACCATGGGGAGCGAGCCCCCCCACTTCCTCGCCATGTTCCAGGGCCAGCTGGTGGTCTTCCGGGTATGACCGCACCTCTGTCTTGCCGGCTTCTCCTCGCGCTTGTGGCTCTTACACGCACCTTCTCTTCAGGCCCGGGGACCCAGCTCACCTCGCCCTGGGGTTCCTGGTGCTTGTTGGAAGCCGAGAGGTCCAAGGGTGGACCCTGCCTGAATTTCTAGCCCTGGTCCCCAGAGCTGGCCCCAAAGCAGGAACACTAAATGGAAAGGACCTCTGGGCTGGCCCGGGGTCACACACAGAGAAACTGGTCCCCAAGGTCCCCTCCGAGGCCCAGAAAGTCACTTGCCCTGACGTGTCGGAGACGGGCTGAAGGTCTCTTCAGAAAGGGCACAAGTCAGACAGAAGCCCCATACTCCCCATGCAGGAGGTCATAGCAGGAGGTCCTTGGAGCCCTAGGGCAGTTTGTCCCACACCAGGTGGTGGTGGTGGGTGGGAGCAGGCCCCCTTGCCTCAGCCTGAGGCCCAGCCTCGTTGCAGGGGGTTGCCAGGCATGGCGGGAAGGAGTGGTCAGTATCTGCCACCCGGCTCTTCCATGTGCGAGGCTCCGACAGCCACAACACCAAGACCATGGAGGTGCCAGCCCGAGCCTCCTCCCTCTGCTCCAGGGACGTCTTCCTGCTGGTCACCCCGGGCAGTTGCTACCTCTGGTTTGGGAAGGTACCTTCCGCACTCACCACTTTCCTCTCACCTGGGCAGTGGTGACGGCCAGGGGATGGTCCACTCCACAATACAGACTATGAGGAGGGCCTCAGACAGGCCTGGGGGCGGGGAGCAGGAGCCACACAGTGTCCCCTGGGGAACCTGGGAGATGTTACACAGTGAGAGGGGGCCTGGGAGTCCACAGGCCAGAGCCAGGTCAGGCCAGGCAGCCTTCCCTCCACCCTCCTTCCTGAGCTGAGCAAGGGGCATGTCACTTCCTATGCCTCTTAGGAGAAGGAGGAAGCCTAATCTGTGTGCTAGAATTTTCTCTGCATTTGCAGCCTGGGGCCCTACATCCTGGCTCTGGCTCTAGGACGGCTCAGATGGAAAGACTGAGACCTGGAGGGGAAGACAGGAAGATGATTGCTTATTTGTGACCCTCTCCAAGGGGTGGGGTATCTGGACTTTGGATGAAGCCCCGGCTGCTCCCCAGGGCCTCACCTAGTTCTTTGCCTGCCCAGGGCTGCACCGGTGACCAGCGTGAGATGGCTCGTACGGTGGCCTCTCTCCTCTCCGGGGAAAACACAGACATAGTGCTGGAGGGCCAGGAGCCCCCGCCCTTCTGGGAGGCCTTGGGGGGCCCAGCTCCCTACCCCAGCAATAAGAGGTAATGGTGGGGAGGAAAGAGCATTGCTCTTAGGTAGAGGAGGGAACTGAGGCCCAGGGAAGGTGGATGGCTATTTAAGGGTCACACAGCGAGCTGGAGAAACAAGATTAGAATGCGGGTCTCTGCCTGCCCACAGTGGCTCCCAGGAGTACTGCCCACTGCTACTCCTGGGCGCTCGGTAACTTGAAGCAGGAAGATGCTGGTAAAGCGGTGGCACTGGTTCCCTCTGCTGGCCAAATCTTGCTCCTGCACCTTTCCCATTGTGGCTCCAAAAATCTCAGAGCTGTGGATTACAGCTCCTAGAGACCCCACAGGGCAGAGTAGAACTGCCCTCACCCCAACCCCGTGGGTTCCTGAGGCTGCAAATCTTTCAGGAAGCAGAAAGCATCATCTTTCTCCCACGGAGCAGCAGGTGGTTTTGACCTGTGGCTAGCCAGGGCTCCTTGTCTTGTGTCTCTCAGGGATCCCCAAGGTGACTGGCCTCTGTCTGCCCCACAGTCACACAGCTGGGGCAGGGGGCAGCTGAACATACGGAGGGGAGTCTGCTATGTGGCTGTATGATGTGTGTGGTGGTGCAGGTGTGGCAGTGTGCAGGTGTGACTGCAGGTGTGACTGTGTGCAGGGAGCCAAGTCCCAGGCTGCTCTTTTCATGTCTGTGGGCCTGATGTATGCTCAGTGCCCCTTCTCCCCCACATTGCATAGCTTGACACTACTGCCCCCCTCCTTCTGCTTCCCCTGCCCTTGAAGCTCCCTGTAGGGGTGGGCCAGGGTGCCGCCCAGTGCAGAGTGGGTGAGTGTCCAGCTCAGGGCATTTCTACTAAGACAGGTGCACCTTCCCTATTGCCTCCCCACATATCTCAGCTGCCTGGACCCAGACAGACTGCCCAGTCCACTTTCCCTTTAACAGAGAGTTGAAGTGGGCCTTAGAGCGGCACAGGGTGTCTGGAATCAACTATGGGGTGAGGGGTAGAGGCTGGGTGGAGGACCCCTGGCTCTCAAGGCTCCTAACCTGGGCTGGCCTTGTCCGAGTACTGCCCACACCCTCATGACCCTGCCACCCCCCCACCCCCCCTGGACAGGCTCCCTGAGGAGGCCTCCAGGTTCCAGCCACGCCTGTTCGAGTGCTCAAGCCCAGAGGGCTGCTTGGTCCTCACGGAAGTGGTGTTCTTCAGCCAGGAGGACCTGGACAAGTATGACGTCATGCTGTTGGACACCTGGGAGGAGGTAAGGCTGCCACCTCTGCCCAGCTGGGGTGTCTGCATTTGAGTGGCTGGGTTCCCGGGTAGCGGGTGGGAGGCCATGGGTGACATGTGTCACTGTGTGCTGACACCAGCGGAGGCAGCAGCACACCATGACGCTGTGCTTGGGACTCGGGTGTTCACTGACCATTTTTGTCACTGCCTAACTGTGGGTGCCTTCCGGTGGTGTGTGTGACTCCCAGGGACCTGGCGTCAGTGTCCCGTGAGTGAGGGTGTGCCTCTGGTCAAGGCCTGGCCTGGCCTGGGTGGACAGTGTGGTGAGGTACTCTGCAGGACCCTGTGTACTTGTGTGATCGCGTAACTGTTTCAGCGTGACTGTCTGCGGCGGCTACTAGTTGGGCCGCGATCGGTGTGGTCGGCAGTTCGAAACCACCAGCAGCTCCGCAGAAGAAAGACTGGGCTTTCTACTCCCATCAACAGTTACAGTCTGGGAGACCCCCAGAGGGTCAGCACCGGCTGTGTGTGGGTGCCTGTGAGGCTGAGCAAGGTTGTCTTTCGGTATGACTGTGTGTGACAGACGGACGGAGTGGCTGCGACTTGCTAGCTGCATGATTGTGTCTTGGTGTGGCCCTGAGCGCATGTGTCCAAGTGTGGGCACCAGTATCATCACTGCAGCCAACAAGCCTTCTGAGGAGCCCCGGTGGTATAGGGGCTACATGCTGGTCTGCTAACCACAAGGCCAGTGGTTGAAAGCCTCTCCTCAGGAGTAAGAGAAGGCTCTCACTCCCATGAAAATGTAGTCTCGGGGTGGGGGACCCCAGGGTGACAAAGAACAGAAACATGGGTGAAGGGAGACAGCAGACGGTGTAAGATATGAAAATTAAAATAATTTATAATTTGTCAAGGGTTCATGGGCAGGGAGGGGGGGGAAGAGGAGCTGATACCAAGGACTCAAGTAGAAAGAAAATGTTTTGCAAAGGAGGATGGCAACATAGGTACAGGTGTGTTTGGTGCAATGGATGTATGGGTTGTTATATGAGCTGCAAGAGCCCCCAATAAAATGATTTATTAAATTTAAAAATTAAAACAAAAATTTAGTTTCGGAAGCCCACAGGGACAGTTTTACTCTGTCCTATAGGATCGCTCTGAATCTATAGCAGTGAGTACCAGGCCTGGTGTGGCCATGCCCCCACTCTCCCCCTGGCTCTCTGTCCAGCCCATGGTGGCCTCTTCCTGTTCCCTAAACAAGCCAGGGAACGCTGCCTCCTCCACAGTGTCCCCCACCTCGGGGCCTTTGCACTGGTGTTTCTTCTGGTAAGACCCCTTTGCCTCAGACATGGCCATGGCCTGCCCGCTCGCTTTACTCAAAGGGTGTGGTCACAGTAAGGCTCCTGTAAGCCTCCCTTAGAATCCCAATTCCCCACCAGCAGCACACGCGGTATCCTTTCCCCGGTCAAGGTTGCTCCATCGGATACACTGCTTTTCTTTTTCTGATCCCAACTATTTATCATATTCCCCCAATAACACCACAGCACCAGGAAGACAGGGTTTTCTGACTTCTCCTTCCCCTTCATGGCGGAATCCCGTGTCTAAGGCAGGGCCTGGCACTCCGGAAGTGCTCAATCCGTAGCCCTGCACGGAATGAAAACCTGCATGCCTGGGACCTGCTGTGAGTCCATAGGGGTGGCAGCGGCCTGCTATCTGGTGGCAGGGGACAGGTTCTGAGGCCACCTGTGGATGGGGGCCCCCGGGGAGGAGGCAGTCAGCTCCAGGCAGCCCCTCCACCAGCCCCAGGCAAGGCCTCTCTGTGACCCAGATCTTCCTGTGGCTGGGGGAAGCTGTGAGTGACCAGAAGGAGGCGGCGGTGGGCTGGGGCCGGGAGTACCTGAAGACCCACCCGGCGGGGAGAAGCCCAGCCACAACCATCGTGTTGGTCAAGCAGGGCCTGGAGCCCCCTACCTTCACTGGCTGGTTCCTCACGTGGGACCCCTACAAGTGGACCGTGAGGCCTGAAGCCCCAGCCCCACCCTACGCCGGGCAGAGGGGCCTGCCCATAACAGGCTGGGGGAGGAGGGCCCGCCCTGCCTGGGGAGCTCCAATGTGTTGGGGGTGGTTTTGGGCGGGGGGGAGTCTGCCTGGGACTTCCACTGTGTATATGGGGGGAGCTCTGGCCTTGTCTCTTTGGGGCGCTGCTCCTGCCCCAGGCCTGACTCTTGTCCCCAGAGTGAACAGCCCTGTGAGGAGGTGGAGGGCAGCCTGGGAACAGCGTCCAACCTCTCCACTCTAACAGTGGTGAGTCCTGGCCTTTCCTCGGTGGTCAGTGGCCCTGCATGCTGGCCGCACCACCCACCTCGGGTCAAGGCAATGAGGAGGAGCACTTGGAGTTGGGGGCAAGAGAGCCCAGCCTGAAGCCCTTCTCTGGACAGGAAATCAACCACTTCCAGCTGTCCAGCTCATTGGGGAATGGCCCTCCGGGGCCCTTGACCTTACGGGCCCTCCAGGGCTCCCAGGAGGCCTCAGAGAATGAGCTGGAGCTGGGCCCCAAGGCGGCCAGCATCAGCACCAGCACTGGCAGCACCAGCTCCCTGGTCAGTGGGGTCCTGCCCCGCGAACGGCTCCTGAACCAGGCCGCTGAGGACCTGCCAGAGGGCGTGGACCCGGCCCGCAAGGAGGTGGGGACCCAGAGCTTCTGCCACACATGGCTCCAGCACTAAGGCCCCTAAAGCTGAGCCGCAGGGGCCCAGCAAGGGGTCCCTGGGGGAGGGGCTTCAGGCAATGGGCTGGCTGCCTGGGGAGAGTCCGTTCTAGATGAGGGGGTGGGCAGGCAGGTGTGGGAGAGCCTTGACAGGCACAACGACACCCCACCCCCAGTTCTACCTCTCGGACTCTGACTTCCAAGCCATCTTCGGGAAGTCCAAGGAAGACTTCTACCGGATGGCCTTGTGGCGACAGCAGCAGGAGAAAAAGCAGCATGGTTTCTTCTGAGCCCAGGCCCTGCGAGAGGCACCTCGTGACCAAGGCCCAGCCCAACAAGCCACACTGGAGTCCCTGGGGAGGCCGAGGCTCTGGGGGTCACCACGCCTTGGTTTTGTCAATAAATAGGTGTGGTTCACACAAGGTGTGGTGTGTGGTCTCAGGGCTGGGGCGCTGCTTCTTGGGAGGGCCCAGGGAGGTCTGTGCCCTCCCCAGGGAAGGGCCAAACTGCCCCTTGCTTGCTCGTGCAAGCAGGGCCAAGCTTACTCGTGTGTGGGTCCCTCCAGATCAGCGGGGCAGACAACCCCTTTATAACCAGGCTGGGTGAGGGGCAGACAGACAGAAGAGCGCCCTGGGACACACAGGTCACACAGTCACGGCGAGGTGTAGTCCACTCTGGGGCAAGGACAAACAGGTCATGAAATCACAGGCTGAGTCATACGTTTTATAAAATCACCCCACCCTGGCTGGCCCCGCGACGAGTGGGCGGCGGCAGAGTGCTCTAACAGAACCGAGGACAGCTCCACGGACTGGGCCGGCGCCTGGGTGCTGACGCTGAAGTTGGAGCTGAAGGCAGGATGGGGTACACAGGGGTGTACAGAGCCCCCCCCCATGCCTAGTCCTGGATGGAGATGGCCACAAAGAGGGTGGCCGATGGATGCTGGTCTCCGTTCTTGGACAAGAGGTGGACATGGCGGTATCCTGGCAGGAGGGAGCAGACAGAGAGAATTCCTGTTTCTCAGGAGGACGTGCCAATGCACCGTCAGCCCCCCAGCTCGGGAACGCCAGGCCCTGCCTCCTGGCTGCCGCCCTGGCTGCCCTGCTGGCTTGTCAGACACTCACCCTGCTTGAGGCAGCTCAAGGGGATGGTGGCCTGTCCAATGAAGTCGTTCTTGGAGGAGGCGTCGTAATCCTCCACCACAAAGCGGACCAGGGCCAGCTCAGGCACTAACACCGCAAACTCCAACTCCGTGTCCCACATGGGGTTGAACCCTAAGAGTAACAGGCTCCTGTCAGCAGCAGAGCCACCAGCAGCTCAGATGGCTGAGCCCGACCCAGACACTGACGGTACCCACCGTTGTTGGTGACCACGGCGGTCTGGCGGGTGGCCATATCCCGGGCCACGCCGTGGACCTCCACGATCACCTTGGGGTCCACGATTGAATTCTTGTTCTTGTTGACTTTGGGAAGCTGTTGCCCTGAGATGACCTGAGGAGAAGCAGGGGACGGCTGGGGGCTCAGCAACGGCCGTGAGCAGGGAGGGAAGCCCGTGGGCCCCTGCCCCTCTGATGTCCCTTCATACTCTGACACGGAGCCGCTTCTCAGTCAACCAGGGCCCCTGAGTCAGCACGCGTGGGTTGAAGGTGGAGTTGGGGTCTCTCAGGAAGGCGGGTTTCAGCACGTACCCACAGGCCCCGTTGTCCTGGAAGCGGCCCTGGTACACATCCATCTCTAGCCCAGGGGTCTGGAAGTTCAGAGCCACTACGGACAGGAAGGACAGTCATGGGCTGGGGCTGGAGCCGGGCCCTGGAGCCCAACCCACTCCGGCCACACCGAGGCCTAGGGTCACATGGGGAGTCTGAAGCAGGGTCGACGCCAAGGCTGACTGCCCTCCTGCCACCTGAATGGTCACTCCACATAAAGCGCAGTTTCCATGGCGGCTGTTGGATCTTAAAGGACCGCTGTGCTAATAATGGTAGGATTTCGGAAATCGTGACTTGCTAGTGGCCAGTATTTCCAACCTGAGGTCTGCAGAATACCACCTCCTGAGCCCACCGGCCCCTGCCTCTGGCCCTGCATGGGAGCCCAGCGCTGTCCCTGCAGGGCCTCCAGGGTTTGGGGCCCCTCAGGACTGAACTCTCGCCGCCACCCCCAGCCCAGCCCAGCCCCCCCCAGCCCCCAGCCCAGCCCAGCCCCCGCGGGCCCCTACCAATCTGGCAGCCGGCGTTCCACATCTCCATGGGGTTGTAGTTGGAGGAGTCTGTTCTCCAGCTGGCCGGGTAGATCCTGCTGAGGTGCCCCACGTTGTGCAGGACAAAGCTGTCTCCTGCAGGGGTACAGCTTAGTCAGAAGTGGTGGTGGTGGGGGGGTGGTCTCACCCCAACTCACTGGTTCTGTCTGGAAATTCTGGGTGACATCCTGAGGGGGTGGGGAGGCAGCCTGGCCCTGGGCAGCCTAGATGTCCAGCCCCTTCCAGCTACAGAATAGGGGGGTGGCGGCGCAACTCACCCGCCTCTTGGAGCAGACGGAGGGCCCGGTTCTCAGAGAAGGACACCATCTCGTAGAAGGCCTGCCCGGTGCTGCCGGGCTTGGCGAAGCCCTCAAAGTGGACGCTCTTGCAGTAAATGACCATGTTGGAGAGTTCTGTGGCTAGCCTGAGCTTGCCCTCCTGGGGGTCACGGGGAGGCCCAGGTGAGAGTCAGAGCTTGGAGCAAGGAGGGCACTGAGAAAGCCCCAAACCCCAGAGATGAGATGGACACAGAGAGGTGGGTGGGCAGAGGCCCTGCGTGGCGACCACAGAGAGCAGGGGCCAGGCTGGCCTCCCTGGGGTGAGGGTGGGGTGAGGGTGGGGAAGGCCCTGCCCCAGACCTTAGACTTGTGCTGCACGCGGCTCCGCACGGCCTCATCCTCCATCTCTGCAGCCTCGTCCTCGTCGGACACCACTGTGGCTTCAGCGCCGCCCTCCCCGTTGGGGGCCGGCAGTCCTCCCAGCTTCTTCCCCTTCAGCAGGACCTTCCCCTTCAGCCGCTGAGGAACGAGGGGGCGGCTGGTCAGAACCCACCTGGCCTCCCAGCCAGTTCCAAGGCCCCTCCTCCAGGGGCCCATGTCCTTCCCCAGTACCTCTGGGGAGGGCAGGCTGTTGGTGACCCCGTCCAGTGGCTGGTCCAACAGCATGGGGCCCAGCAGGGTCCGCAGGTGTCTTGCCATCACTCGCTGCTGCTCCAGGCTGCAGTGGTTCTCCAGAGACAGGATGACGGGGTAGGGCGATGCCTGGGGGTCCGAGGGCGTGTTAGGAGGAGGAGGGCACCCGCCGCTTTAGCCTCCGCCCTTCTAGGGATGTGCCCACCTTGAAGGCATAGTCCCGGATGGCCCTGATCACGTCGCAGAAGAGGATCTTGGAAGTGAAGGTGTAGCCATGGTAGATGACCGGTTCCTGGTTAGGGCCATCCCAGCAGTCAAGCTCCAAGCACCGGCAGCCTTTGCACATTGCCCTGTGGGCGGGAAATGGAGCTGGGACCCTGGAGGCCTGGGGCCCAGCCCCTTCTCTTGCCCCGCCTCCAGTCCCCCTAGCCCCGCCTCTTGCCGCACCTCCAGCCCTACATCCGGGCCTGGCCCCGCCTCCAGTTCTCACCGGATGTAGGCTTCGGTGCTGCTGGGACCAGTGAGCTGGTCCTCCAGGAGGTAGGTGTTGTGCGAAGAGGACACCAGGTAGTGGCTGAGAGGCTGGTCCATGTCCTGGTAGACCCTCCGGTGCGCCAGGTTGAAGGCGCTGCCGTCCGCCGACAGCAGGTACATGAGGAAGCCATCCTTGGTCATCTGCCGCTGCTCCTTGGCTGCGGGGGAGGGGCCATCCTATCACATCTTCCCGCCGCCGCCGGCCTCTCTGCCCTGAGCTGGCCCTCAACATCCGACAGCCCGCGGAAGTGGGCTCAGCCTGCGTGCCAGGATATGAGTACCCCATTCCTGTCTCCTCCTCCTCTGTGCCCACACCGCCAGGCTCCTGTGGGCAGGCCCCCATCTCCTCTGTCCCCCATGATCCCAGGCAGGAAACGTTTCCCCACCCTGCTGTCGTCTCCCAAAGATGGATCCCAAGGCCAGGCACCAAGAAGGGACAAAACAGTGTCTGCTATTCGGGGGTGGGGTGGGATGGGCAGGTCTTAAACCCCCCTGGAGAGGAACCAACAGAGGGAGACTGGGCCCTGCCACCTGTCTGCTTGCTCTAATGGGGCAGGCGGTACTGCCTGCGGACAAGGGACCCCCCTTCCCCGCCAGCCCCCTTCCCTCTCGCACACCGAAGTGCCGGGCAGGCCCTCACCGGTTACACTGGGCTCATAGCGCTCAATGAGGGAGAGGGCCAGCGCAGGGCCCGCAGCCTCCTCCCGCTGCTGGTGCTGTAGGAACGTCACTAGCTGGTCCACCGACAGGGTCTCTCGGGACCCCGCAGCCTCAGCGAAGATGCGGTCGATCTCCACCCTCTGCGTCAGCATCTTGTAGAAGTCCTCGATCTCCTCGTCCTCCAGGGAGTCTGTCTGGGAGTGGTCACACTCCTGCGGAACCAGGGCCAGGGCCAGCGTGTGGACAGAGCTCAGCGCGGGCCTCAGGGCAGGATCAGGGACCCCACTGCCACCTGACCCTAACCCTCACTTCCTGCCTCACCCTGAAGATCTTCCTGGCATAGCTGTCATCCACCCGGATGTTGAGCTCCTTCAGGAAGTCCTGCAGCTCCTTGAAGCTCATCTTATTATCCTTGTTCTTGTCAGCTTTTCGGAGGCAGGAGTGGATCCAGCTGGGCAAGGTAAGGAAAGAGCCCAGGAGCCCTGGTACCCCCTGAGGTCCCAGCCAGAGCCAGGTCCCAGCCCTTCAACCCCTGCACCCAGCACTGCCGAGGCTAGGCCTACCAGCAGACACGGCTCCCTGCTTCTTGCACACCTACATTTCAGGCTCAAGACCTGCTGCCTTCTTTGGGGGGAAATATCCTTTTAAGAGCTCCTTTTCTATGTGCTGGCCATGAGACCTTTCTTTTGTCACTCTAGAGCGCAGTGTAAACAACAGACTATGGAGAAACGTAATCAATCATATCAGCCCTCCCCACCCCATCCCCGCCCTCCGGGAGCCCAGCCACCCAAGGATACTACTATTAATATTTCAATGTACATCTTCTTTCTGGTTTCCAAAACCGTTAGCCAACTTGACAAAAGTACTTTGTTGTTGGTAGGCGCCACTGAGCCGATGTGGGCACAGAGCAATGGGGCAGAGGAGAGCTACTTCATAGGCTTTCGTAGCTATCATCTTTACGGGAGCAGATCACCAGGGCAGGGTGGGAATGAACTGCTGGGTGGGATCAAACCATGAGCTTTGCAGGTGGTGGCCCAGCACCCAACTGTTGTACGGACATAAGGAAAAGATACTAGAACCAGCACATCATTTAAGTTTTTGTTTGTTAGACATCCAAAATGTAACAGTCCCTCCCTTACAGGAAAAATTCCTTTTAAGCTTAATCAGCAGGAATGTTACAACTCTGGAAGGAATCTATCAAGGTCAGCAAGTTAATAAAATACACGACCAGAGCGGGCAACTATATTAGAGCTTATATTCTGAGCACCTGGTTTTTTTAGAAGACTGTGGCTAACAGTGAAAGCTAAAAATCCATTCCTGATTCCTCGCATGGATTAAGCCTAGGGTGAAGCCCTTCTGACTGTGGACCACAAACTAAAGACGTGAAGAGTCTTGCTACCAGACAATGCGCTGGAAAGTCGATTGATGCAGCTATAGTTAGGTTAAAAATTAACACCTTACTTGTTTTGTCTTATTTATTTATTACTTGTTTTGCCTTTTAATTCACTTTAAATTTGTTCTAGTTTTTATTATTTTCTGCTTTTTTATTGAGGCTTTTCTGTTTTGTTATTATTGGGGTCTTGGGGTTTTTTTTTGTTTGTTTTTTTTTTAAATTTCTGTTTGTTTTTCCTTCATGAAATCCAGGATAGGAAAACTATAGAGATTGTTCCTGGATTAATAATTTCTTCAGGTTATGACAAGGAAGTTGGGGAAACGAGGAGCTAGTAATAATGAGTAGAAGAATGAAGAAAGTGTTCTCAAATATATTGTGATGATTACACAACTCTTTAATATGTTGAAACCATTGAATTGTATGAAATGTGAATTATATGTCAATGAAACTGTTAAAATAAAAGAAAGAAATACTAAATACCCAAAAAGTCTTATGCACAGAGATAGTCTTTGCAATGTTATTTGTTGTTTCAATACAGAAAGACTAAAACTGGAACACTCAACACTAAAGAAATAAATCACTAGTTCATGGTTCTCCTATTCAGTGGATTAAAACTGCAATACTCAAAATTGACATCCAGATTCAACACAATCTCTATCAACATCCCAGCTGGCTATTTGTTTGTAGAAATTGACAAGTTGATCCTGAAGTTGATGTGGAAATCCAGGGGACCCAGAATAGCCCAAAGGAGCTTGAAAAGGAACAACAAAATTAGAAGGCTCACCTTTCCCAAATGCAAAACTTACTACAAAGTTACAGTTACAGCACCTTGTGATGCTGGCACAAGGACAGACAGATAGATGAACGGAGTAGTATAAACTCTGACATTGATGATCAGTTGATTTTTGACAATGCTGCCAAGATGACTCACTGGGGGAAGAATAATCTAAAGAAATGGTGCAGGGACAACTGGGTATCTATATGCAAGAGGTGAAGTTGGATCCCTACCTCACACCATACACAGAAATTAACCCAACATGGATCAGAGACTTAAATGTAAGAGCTAACACTATACATTCTTAGAAGAAAATAGAGTAAATCTATTGGGTCACATAAAGTTTTCTTTAATATGACACCAAAGAAAAAGTGGATAAACTGGACTTTATCAAAACTAAAAACTTGTGCCACAAAAAATATCATCAAGGAAATAAAGAGAAAGCCCATAGTTTGGGAGAAAAATATTTGCAAGTCATACATCTGATCAAGGACTGGTATCTACAACATATAGAGAGAAATTCTTACAACTCAATAACAAAACGATCAATAACTCAGTTTTTAAAAGGACAAAAGATCTGAGTATGTATTTCTTCAAAGAAGATATATAAATGGTCAACCAGCACAAGACAAGAGAACCAACCTGTGGGAAGCAGAACTGGGAAGAGAGTGTCTGAGGACAAACTCTCAGTATTCACACATTCAGGAGTTTGGGAGGCCGGGGCTCCCGTGGAGGGACCTTCACATTCATGGGTTGGAGTTGCGCTCCAATCACATTCTCCTAAGTAAAGTTATTCTCCAGGAAGTCCCCCCATAATAATGCCAAATCTAAGGTGCTGTTTGCAAACACATGGTCACTGACTATACACTTGGAGGTCAACTGCTTAAAGGCTAACTGCCTAAAGGTTATCAGCCATCTAAGGCAATCAGACCCTATTGTCTGTCCCACCCTGAATAGAACCCACTCCCTTCTGATAAGGATAATGGATTGTTCCCCTGAAGGAGAACCCAGAGATTCCTAAGGTCAAAGCCAATTCAGAGAAGACCAAGGCTAGGCTGACATATTGACTCTAGAGCCTGCCTATCTTGTTACATGTATGCCTTCATGTCACATGTGTGCCCCTACTGCCCCCACTTCCTATTGCATGTATACCCCTAGCTCATCCCCCTCCTGTTACATATGTGGTTATCTGTAATTAGGGGGGCTTGCATGTCCCCCTAGAGTGCATATAAGCCTTGGTTGAAAATATATTCTTTCTCTGCACAGACCTGCTCCTAAAGTCATAGCAGTTCCAGCGGACTTGCATGCTTTATCTTGTCTGATGTCTCTTTAATTTACCCCTCAATTGACACGACGTCCCCTTACTGACCCACAGTGCTATGGGGGACAGCACTGGAAGACACCATGAGGGAATTGTGCCCAGTCTGACACCACCACCCCTCCCCCGCCACCAGGGTATAACACAGAGCAGCAAGAGGATCAAAGCAACAAAATCCCCAAGGAATTCTGACCCAGGGGCAGGCTTGGCACTGCATCAGACCTGACTGGAAAACATTCATAAGGGTCAGCAGACAGATCTGGAACTATTCATAGGGTTGTTGTTTTCTTTTTCATGTCTATCTACATAAGATAAGCAGGATAAACAATCCCCAGGAGAAAACAATGGGACCAACAGTTTTGGGGGGACAGGGGAGAGGAGGAGGTGGGGGAAAGGGAGGAGAAAGCCAACAAACCCAGGGACAAGGGAACAACAAGGGATCTAAACTTGATGGGGAGGAGGGCATAGGATGCCTGGTGGAATTTCATGCAGTGCAATGTAGCCAAGAGGAATTACTGAGAGCCAAATGAAGGTCAAGCATGATAGTGGGACAGGAGGAAAGTAAAAAGAAATAGAGGCAAAAGACATTTATAGAGGTATAAACATAAGCATGTACATATGTAAATATATTAATAACTAATGATAGGGATATTAAACTGTAAATATATTTATAGGTTAAGTATTAAGATAGCAGATGGACATTGGGCTCTACTCAAGTCCTCCCTCAACACTTTGTTCTAATAACCTGGCATTCTGTGATTCTCACCTTCCCAACATGATTGCTGAAGACAAAATGGGTGCATAAGCAAATGTGGGGAAGAAAGCTGATGGTGCGTGGCTATTACAAGATGTAGCATCTGGGGTCTTAAAGGCTTGAAGTCAAACAAGCAATCATCTAGCAGACAAGCAACAAAGCCCACATGAAAGAAGCACACCAGCCTGTGTGATCATGAAGTGCCTACAGGATCAGGTATCAGGCATCAGAAGACCCAAAAGAAGCAACCAATTTGATGTGATCGATGGGGGTCAGAATGGAGACTCAAGGGCCACTGTAGACAATTGGACATTCCCTGACAGAAGGGTCACAAAGAAGGGATGAGCCAGTCAGGGTGCAGTATAGCACCAAGAAACACAGAATATTTCTCTAGTTCTTTAATGCTTCCTCATCCGGCCCCACCCCCCACTATCATGACCCAGTTCTACCTTACTAATCTGGCTAGATCATGCGGATCATGTACACTGCTACAGATAAGAGCTTTCGACACACAGAATCCAGGACAAGTGAACCCCTCAGAGTAGCAATACCATGAATGTAGAGGGACGGTGAAGGAAGAAGGGGGAGAAAGGGGGAGCCGATCACAATGGTGGACATGCAACGCCCCCCCCCCAAGGGGACAAAAAACAGAAACATGGGTGAAGGGAGACAGTGGGCAGTGTAAAATATGAAAATAAAGATAATTTATAAATCATCAAGGGTTCATGAGGGTGGGAAAGGGAGGGAGGGAGAGGAAAAAAGAGGAGCTGATACCAAGGGCTCAAGTAGAAAGAAAATATTTTGGAAATGATGATGGCAACATATGCACAAATGTGCTTGATACAATTGATGTGTGGATTGTTTTTTAAGAGCTGTAAGACCTCCCAGTAAAATGATTTATTTTAGAAAATTAAAAAGAGATGCAAAATACTCTGCACCATGGCCCAGGAAACATGATTGGACAATAATTAAATTGCTTAGATTTGGGGGGAAAAAATTACCCCTCCATTATACAATCACCCCTTGAACCCAACCCATTTGATTGTGGGGGCTATCACCAATCTCATTAGCCATCAGGGAGATGTGGGGCTATCACCAATCTCATTAGCCAATCTCATTAGAGATGCAAATCTAAACCAAATGAGATACCACTGCATGCCCACTACGCACTACTCCTTGCCATTGAGTGGATTCAGATTCGTAGCAGCCCTTCAGGGCAAAGTAGAACTGCCCCTGTGGCGTTCCGAGAGTGTCACTCTTTAGAGAATTAGAAAGCCTCTTCTTTCTCCCAGTGATTCCACACTCTGGACCTCAGGGTTAGCAGCCCCGCGTGTAACATGTCACCGCCAGGGCTCCTTTCACACCCACTGGGAGGGCTACCATCCAAACGGCAGACAAGAACACGTATGGGGAGCTGGGAGAAAGCAGAGTCCTCAGCAGCGGCAGGTAGACATGCAAATGAGACAGCCACTTTGGAAACCGGTGGCAGTGCCTCAAAAGGCTGAACATATGGTTCCCATATGACCCAGCAGGTGTGCTCCTAGCTTGATACCCAAGAGGAATAAAACATGTCTGTAGACGCGAGCGCACACAGACAAGTGTACTTGTACAAGAATGTTCAAAGCAACATTAATTAGCAGAGCCCCCCAGAGGAAACGACCGAATGTCCTCAATGAACAACCGGATAAGTAAAACAAAGTGTGGCAGAGCCAGGTAATGGAGCACCTTCCTCTACCAGAAAGGAGGCACGGCTTCAATGAACCTTGAGGGCAACGTCAAGTGAACAAAGCTGGTCACCTAAGGCTTTATGACTCTATTTCTAGGAAAGACCCAGAAGAGACAAATGTCTAAGAGACAGCATTTGGGAGGAGCCATTAGGTAGTGGCTGGGTGAGCCACCCAGAGGTGCCATTGGAAAAAATGGTCTAGCATCTACTTCTGAAAAGCCTTCAGCCACCGAAAAACCCTAAGGAGTTGTACAGTTCTACTGTCACACATGCCATGAGTTCCCACGAGTCAGGATCAACCCCACCACAACTGGTGGGATACTGAGGGTTGGGGAGGTTGGGGAGACATGCAAAGTAACTGTTAAAGGGTGCAGGCTTTCTTTGGGAGGGGCGGGTGGGTAAGGGGAATATCTCCAGCTAATTTTGCTGTACAACTCTGAGCACGCCGAAAGCCTCGGAGTGGTCCGCTCAGTGGCAGGGCTGTGTGGCGTGTGAATCCTAGCTCAACGAGCTGTCATACACAAAAGAAGCCGGAGCTGGTGTGTTCTGTGCAGACCAGAAGCCTGGTCACTTAGCGCCACCACCACCGACTAGTTGGTTGTTGGGCCCCTAGATTGTGCAGTGGGTTTGTCTGAAGCGCACAGGCTGGCCTGCACACCATGCCGGGGAGGGGCGGGAAGTGGGGGGTGACAACGACTTGATCACTCCCAGAAGCGTGGCCTAGAATGGCCACGGCACCACCCACAATCCTACAGGGAAACGTGATTAAAGCGATCGCCACTGGGTCTTCAGTGTCTCAACTCCACGCTGGCCCCACAAGGAGGAGGAGAGGGCACCACCCCCCCAACTGCCACCGGGGGTGGCACAGCTCTCTGGCCCTCAAGCCTTTGGATGGAACAGACCCAAGAGGGCTCCAGGCACCTTCTCTGCTTCCCTTCCATAGCCAAGCTGCCCCAGAGACACCCACAGTCCGTGGTCACCACCACAAGGAAGGATACTGCCGCAATTTCTGCCTCTGGTCCATGGAGCCTGAGTGGTGGATGATCTTGCGCAAACCCTGCACCCAGTGCTGGGTGTCGGCTGGCGTGGGGGCGATGAGGTCCAGTGTGTTGCGCTGGTCCTTGAAGACGATGGAGAAGCAGCGGTCCTCTGGCACGTCCCGGGCATACTTCTCCAGGCCCTCGGTGCGGTGGCCCTGCCGCACCTCCTGGATGTCCTCAATGGAGACTGTGCACAGGGGGCGAGGGGGGCAGACAGAGCCAGCCGTGAGGCACAGGGCTGGGGCTGGGGCTGGGTCCTGAAGGAGAGAAAGGAGAGGAGCAGGACAGACGAGGTAGGACAGAAAGGAGGAAGACAGAGACAGAGAGACAGATGAAGGAGGCAGAGTGGAAGCCACAGAGACTTAAGGTGGTCAGGGTGCCTGGGACCCCTCGGCCCTGGGTCCTGGGCATGGGAGGTGAACAGGGGTGCTGAGGGAGGGCTGGGGTGCAGCAGGAGATTGATTGTGGAGCTGGGGGCCTGTTAGCAGAGCCACCAACCTTCCCAATCCATCTTGACTTGGACATGTCCTCCTGCCCACGACCAGGAAAGCCCACAAGCTGGGGCCCCCTGTGCTCAGGCCTGCCTGGATTCAGGGAGCAGGGGGCCTGAATCTGGACTAAATGCCCCCTGTCTGTCTGTGTCCTGAAAATCAGGGAGCCCCTTGGCAGTGGGTGGAGGGAGGCTGGGTCCTTCAGGGCCCCAACAGGAGGGTGCGCTCAGGGGTGGAGCAATTACATCATTCTACCCTTGAGAGCCTGGGGGAAGGCCCACCTGTCTCAGCCCAGCATTCAGCGCTTCAGGAAGGGCCCTGCCTGCAGCTCCTCCAGGTTCCTACTGGCCTCCCATAGCAGAAGCCAGGCTCTGTCTGCCCCTTTCCCATGCCCCAACGGTGAGACACTTGGTCCCAAGCTGGAATCCAGACTGTCCCTCCAGCTCACAGGCCCCATGAGTGGCGAGAGCTGTGCCCAACCAGGTCAGCAGGCTCTGAGGATCAGGACACATGAGCCCCAGGCCACCTGGGGTGCAGGGGAAACTTCTTGTGCCTTGCTGGGCCCCACCCCAGCTGCAGTCGCTGCAGCCCCCAGCTGGGAGTGAATACAGGATGTCAGACCCCTGCCCCAGAGAAAGTCCAGAAGCCTTCAGTGCTGATAGTCCTTGTCTGCCTCTGGGAGCTGGAGCTGACAGAGGAGGTAAGTCAATGGTGTGCTGAGGGGGGCATTATGGGACGGGAAGCAGAGCTGGAGAGATTGGGGGGGGGGGGGGGGGGGGGGGTTGGGGGGGGGGGGGGAAGGGCAGCTCCGCTGCTTTCTCACCTGGCCTCTCTGGGCCTTCCTTTCCCCAGAGTAAAATTCAGTTGAGGACAAGGGAAACCTTGCGGCCTGGCCCAGAGCAGGGTCTCGGCCACAGGTATGCTCAGGCCACTGGAGAAAGGTCTCCTGGGGCCACACGGGGCAAGCGCCTCGCCTGAGCACACCCGGGTCCCCAAACCTGGACCTGCCGCCCCTGCAGCCCTCCTCTCAGGTGCAGGCCCTTCCTCAGTCTCACTGGGCACCTTGGCTCACACTGCCTTTCCTGCCCAGAATGCTAGTCCTGCCCCTTTTGCTCACCCAGTGTAAGGCCTGAGTGTCCCATTCCTCTGCTTGGCGCCCGCCCCTCCACCATGTGGTAGACATATCCCTGGGCTCAGTGTAAGATGCCTGTTCCCACCCTGCCCCCACCAGCAGCAGACCCGGAACCCCCACTAGAACAGGAGCCAGACTCCAAGCCAAGCCCCATATACTCTCGCGTGCTATGTGGCGGGGGTCTGGGCTGGAACAGATGCAGGCTCTGGGGGACCCCAGCCCCTCAGATCCTGCCTTGCTCAGAAACCTTCCGTATCCACAGCCCTACCTGCCCCTGCCCCTGCCCCTGGCCTGCCTCAGCTCCTGCCCTGCCATCCGCAGGCCATCGGCTGGGCGTGTCTCCTCAGGTGTTTCTGCACACCCATCTGAGGTCTGGCAGCTGCTTCCTGGGGAAAACGCACCTTTAGGGCATTCATTTGAGGTGCCTCCATAGCCTGGCCTTTCTCTTCTCCCTGTTCCCTTCCCACCTGGGGTTTGTCACAGAAGTCTGCTTCCACCACCCCCTCCACCTCAGTGGACCGGCTTGTGGACAGACCTGCCTCTCCGTAACCCAGGGTGGGGTGAATGGATAGAGGATTAGCGGGGGTCAGGCTTCAGTGGGGTGCGCTGGGGGCAGTTGGAACCCGCAGGAAAGCCGTGGCAGTCTGCTCCTATAAAGGCTTCCGTCCTGGAAACCTCCGGGGCAGTGCCGCTCTGTCTCACAGGGCCATGCTACAGGCTGGGCTTGCTTTGGCTTTTTGCGGGCTTCGGAGGGAAGGAATCCCTGATTTGCACGGATGGTTCCGTGTTTGGTTGGTGCCTCCAGCCTTCGCTCTGCTTCTAAGCAGCCTCAGCCAGGAAAATCCTCCCACCCCCGTGCGCCCAGTTTTATTTTGATGGGTGTGGGGTCACCGGGAGTGGGGAGCCACCTGATGGAACCATTTGGGTTATTTGATTTGAGCTGAGGTGAGCTGCGGTGAAATCCAGGATGTAACGATTCCAAGGGTCAGCTGATTCTGTCTGTCTGAACCAATGGGCTACATGTATCTTTTCAAGTATCTGTTGTTGCTTGGGCAGTGACGGCAGTTCCCCCATGATGGCGCCCCACGTGTTACCGGGAGAACTGCCCCACAGGGTTTTCTCAGCTGTGATCTTTGGGGAAGCTGACGGCCTTGATTTTTTCTTCCATAGAGTCACTGGGTCTGAGCCGCGATACTTCGGTTTAGCAGCTCATTCACCAACTGCCTGTGCCACCCCGGCCCCTTATCAATGTGCATTCGTTTTAAAATTAAGTAAAACGAACAACTTATTTCTTCGGTCACACCAGCCACATTCCGAGTACTCTACAACCATGGGTGGCTGGTGGCTACCAGGCCGATGAAGAACATGCCTGTCATCATAAAAAGTTCTCTCAGACGTGCAGGTCTAAACTGCTCGCAGCAAGTACAGGTGCAGAGCTATGGCAAGAGAAGGTCTCATTTCACAGCCTCTTTGGAGAATTCTTGCCTCAAAAGGTAGAAGTCAGCGAAGCTTTGAAGGCTGGAAGTTTCCAGAAAGCTCTCAGACTCACACCCTCGGGGAAACACCACAGGCCTGGCCTCTTTCTGTGTCTCCCAGCTCTCCTCCATCCCCAATGTCCCTTCTTCGGTCTCAGTCCCAAGGAGAAGCTGCTTCGGCAGCTCCAGCTCACACTCAGGCCGAAGATATGCGGAAGTAAAACTACTTTGTCTGCTCCTGGACTTTGGGCCTGGCTTTTGGCCGCTCCATACCTAGCCCGCCCATCTTCCCTCCTTCCTACACTGCCTGGGTGGATACTGGAGGGTTCAGACAACACCGCTAGCCCCTCCCTCCTTTTGCTTTCCCCAGCTGTGGCCCCCGCTCTGGCCTGGAATCCCTAGCATCTTCCTCCTACCATGACTGCTGCCTCCAGCCCAAGACTGGGTCCCCGTTTCCCTGGAGGGGACAAACTGGTTCTCTCCCATCCCAGCGGCCAGCCTGCTTCCTTATCTAGTCCTGGAAACCAGACTGGGCTTCAGTTTCTCCATCTGTAGTCCTGTTTCATGGCTGACGCTCAATCCCATTCCACCCCAGTCAGCCTCCGTTTCCACGCTCTGCCCCTTCGCCCGAAGCCCCCCGGTGCTCACATAGCTGGGACTCAGGGGTCCGCATGACCTTGCGAGACTCCTGCCAGATGGTCTTGCAGTCTTCCTGCAACTTGTAGAAGCGCTCTCTCCGCCAGGAGCTGGACTTCACCTTCAAGAGCTGGCTGCCCTTGAGCAGTGCCTGTAGGTCCTCGTCATTCTGCAAGCCTGTAGACACAGAGCAGCCAGGAGACCATTTGTACCCCAGCGTCCCTGTTGCCCGGGGACCTGAGTTGGCCCACCTTCACTCATGCTTCACTACTGCCCACCCTACCTCCTCCAGGAAGCCATCTCTGATCACCAGTTGAAGTGGCCCTACTAAATCTCAGAAGGTCACACTTTACCCAGTGACCTGCCGCCCATGGCTGAATGGACAAAGGGAAGGCAACTCATCCAGTCCAGCTGGATTCAGGAGCCCAGTCCCCCCAAAAGAGCCTGGCGCTTGCAAGATAAGGTGGACCCTCCATGGTGACACTCAGGGGTCAGAGTGAACTGAAGGAAGCTAGGACCAAAAGATCGGGTGGAACAGAAAAGAAATGGGTAGATGTAGTGTAGCACTAGACCCCAGCAACCTCCCAACGTTAATGCTTCTGGAATCACAAATCCCCTTCCTGCTCAGTTGTGCAGCCTAGGCAAGTGACTTCATGGGGCTGGGCGGCTGCTTTCCTGTCTCTAATGTGGGGCTGATAACTAACAGAGGCTTGCCGGCTAAAGGAGATGCTGCATGTATCTAGGGAGGGTCTTGGGCACTCAATCACAACAGCTGGAATTGGTTGGTTGGGTGGGCCCCTTATGCATATCTCTGCTGCCCCCACCCCTGACTTGAACCTGTCCGACTGGGTTACTGAGAGAAGAGAGAGATAAGATAGAGATGAGCCCACCCTAGACTGGCCTGTCCTGCTGGGTTATCCCTGGTCCCTGGCCATCCCTGGACCACTCCCATGTCTGATTGTCCTGGTCGGGGACCCTCAGGGTACAGCAACCCTGAAGTACAGGACAGCTCTTTCATAAGCTGAAGCAGGGCCTGCACCAGAGCCCGGCAGGACACAGCACACCCTGGTTGCTTCGTCTCCCCGCCTCCCTGCTCTCAAAGACCTCTGCTCATCAGAGACATGGGTTCCCAAAGATACGTGCCCATTGTCCTAGCAGGCCCAAATTGGAGAGGCCAAAAGGACACCAGCCTGGCTAGCCAGGAGCCCTTGCCTCCCAAGCAGATGCCGTTACCAACAGGCTTGATAAAGAGAAACTCGCCACTTCATTGACCCATATTTGTACTATACAGATGGGCAAAGACAGATACGTAAACACCGTGCCTTAGCCACGTGTGGTCCTGCGGACAGCTCTCTTCAGAGCCAGAGGGCCACAACACTGGTCCCCAAACGAAGTGGCGGCTTTGGTCCTGTTGCTCCAGTAGAGGGAGTGGTGGATCAGGAACCCTGTGTGGAAAACACTCAGAAATCCAGAATCTCTTCTTTTCTGGGCCTAGATCCCCAAACCCCAATAGACCCTCTCTGTCTCCCTCTCTCTCATTCTCTCTCTTCTCAGCCTGCCCCGCTACTCCAGTCCCCTCAATCTCCTGCTTCCGGTGGGGGCAGAGCCCAGCATTCACACTCAACTAACTCCCTACGGCTTCCGGCAGCTGCCTCCCCTCTCTGTGCCTGTTTCCCCTTCACACTGGGGTAGGGACCATCTTGGAGAAGCCATATCTGGCCTCCTCAGGGCCCCCCACCTTTGTCTAAGGCATTGGTTCTCAACCTTCTTAATGCTGTGACCCTTTAATACAGTTCCTCATGTTGTGGTGACTCCCCACCCCCACCCCCACCATAAAATTATTTTCGTTGCTATTTCATCACTGTCATTTTGCTACTGTTATGAATTGGGCAACCCCTGTGAAAGGGTCATTCAACCCCCCAAAGGGTCACGACCCACAGGTTGAGAACCGCTGGCCTCCTAACCCTTCCCAGGCAACTCAGCTGCCAGAGGAAGAGCATTTCATTTCCCGGTCAATCCAAGGGGTTCCATCACCCCCTCAAAAAAAAGGTTCCGAGCTGTTTGTAGCTGTGTCTGTGGGCCCCAAAATGGAGGACAAAGCCCTGGGGGCTCCTGACTCCCAGAGGAGAGAGCCACCTCCAGCCACTGCTGAGGGACTCTTTTGTCCTTTCTGAAGCCTGAATGACACCCTTGTCTGCACTCTACCTGGCTAGCTGGGCACATGCCAGGACAAGCCCCTGGGAACAGAGCAGATGGGACTAGAGGGGTCGGGAAGTCGGAAGGGGAGCTCCACCCTCAGTCCTGGAAAATTCCCTGAGGAGATGATATGTTCATCCTGTCCTGGAGCCAGGCTGGGCTCCTATCTATGGCCAGGCAGAGATAAGCCCCCCGACTGCCAACATGGCTTCCGGACCATGGCCTTCAGCCCCAGCGGGCCTTGGTAATTCCAGAGAGGTAAATGCTACTTAGCTCTCTCTCTGGGTCACTGGGGAACCTGGGTGGACACCTCCATCTCCATGTCTTGGTGGGGGCCTTTTTGTTTTTGAGGCTTTGGGGCTGCCAGACCCACCTCCCAGAAGGTCTGTGGACATGGAGACCACAGTCCCACCCACTCAGCCAGAATACAATCTCCAACCTGCCAGGCTAGCTGCACACCCGAAGGTGGACATATCGTGTGTTCAGAGAGTCCTGTGGGAACTAATGGGGGCTCAGTGGGTGCCAGGAGTCCTGTTATATGTCTGGGGTAGTATATAATTGACTCACACCAGGGCCTGGGACACAGTCACGCCACACAACCAACTACATTTAATCACACACAGCCACAGATAGCACCAGTGGAGCATCATGATGATGGTCATAATAAGAGCAGCCAGCAGAATAAGAGTTAATATTAATACATGTTAAGTACACAGATATTATTTATCTAACGCTTACATAAATAACCAGCACCTGTACTTAATCCCCCGGGTGAGGAAGGCACCCTGATCATTTCTATTTTACGATGAAGAAGTTCAGGCTCAAGGAAGTTACATCGTAGAGTCAGGGCTCAAGCTTGGAAAGAGTAACTTATACAACCATCACTTTCCCACATGGCCCCATGCCACCTCATCAGACAACTCATGTCACACCACAGTCACCCTGGGTTACACACAGACACCCACAGACCCACAAGGCCACACTCCAGGTTACACCGCAACACACACCTTCACTGATGCACAGCAGTCTACAGTTTCACACCGGCAGGATCGCTCTGTCCCCACTGGGTCATTTGCTGTCACTTTATCAAATATGGGGACAACACACATGGTGATCAGTCCTTTGGGTTGTCATACCAGTTATGCACCAGGTGACATATTTAGTGGTGCCTCAGAAATGTATAAACGGGAAGGGTCAAAGGTGGTAAGGAGGGGAGGTTGGAGAGAGGCACAGGCAGCTTAAAAGGAAGGATAACAAATTCCCCCAGTACTCCCCCTAGGTGCCACCTCTATAGACGCTGCCCACAGCGTGTCGCGCTCACAGAAACACCAAACAGCCCCATCAAAGACCGAACAAGAGTCTGTTCCGTCCCCACCCCATGCTCAGCGACATGTAGTCTGTGCCCTGCCCCACCTGCCTTCCAGCTTCCTACAGGTCGGAGGACTTCGGCGCCCCTTACCCAGCCTCTGCCCATTGAGTGCTGCCACCTTGAGGCTCTGCTCCCGCAGGTAGAGCTCCCTGGAGCGGCCCCAGCTCCAGTTCCAGCTCCGGCTCCGGCAGCCCAAGCACTGCATGGCTGCTCCTCTGTGCGCCTGCCGCCCTCCGAGGCTGGCCCAGCACAGTGCAGCCTCTAGCTCTGGAGCTAGAGGGCCCGAATCGCGGCCCAAGAGATAGGGGGCGGAGCTCAAGCATGAGGGGCGGAGCCAGAACCCGGGAGGCGGAACCAGGGAAGGGGTAGTGGCTAGGCTCCAGAGGCGGGCTAAGAGAGAAATCCGTGCTGAGGGAGGAGCCATCCCGGGAGAGGCGGGGTCTTCACCCAGGAGGCGGGGAGAGGGCGGAGTCTGGTGGGGAGGGGGTGGGGCCAGATCTTAGGAAGCGGGGAGGAGGAGGGGCACCCAAGGCCGAGTGGGCCAGATGTGTAAGACAGGAAACGGATTCATGGCGAAGTCGGAGCCCTGAAAGCGGATCAGGGCGGAGCCAGAGGCCAGGAGGTGGAGGAACCTGGCTGGAAGCGGAATCCAGGCTGGGAGCCAAGCTGGGGAGGCGACGTGGATGCAGTTATAACCCAGCAAGCAGACCACAACCGAACCAAAGACTAGGAGGCAAAACGGGAGGATCTCGCACTGGGAAGGCGGTGCCCAGGCCGCCGGCGGCAGAGTGCAAGTGGAGTTCCGCCATTGGGGGGGCTTGAGCCACGGATTTTAAACCCCGGTCTGAAGCTGGAGGAGAGAGGGAGAACGGGGCCGGGTGAGGGGCTCCCTTGGTCACCTGGGATCGCAGCTCTGGCGCCGGAGCCCAGCGGAGCTAGGGTGGGGCGGTGACAGAACCTGCCAAATAATTTCCCACGATTACTCAAGGAAATGATCGTAACTCAACTTGCAGTTCCTACATCACTTGTGAACTTCAGGCAAGCCCGTTTCACTCCGTCAGCTTCCCTCCAAACTTTGGATACGAATAAATTGGGAGGGGGGGAAATAAAACACTGATCTTAAAAGATTCCATCCAGGAGGCTTGCTTAAATGTATAAATGAGAACGATTTCAACTTATTCAGAACTGTGCTGTCAGTGTGCTTGCAAACAGTGGGGTCCTTTCATGCACACGACAGCTTTCCTTTCATTCACTAGCCAGTTATTTGTTGAACCCTGTTGTGTGCCAAGTACAGGCTCCACCCAGGGACCTGACTCACTCCCTCCTCGCTGCTGCTGCTCTATGACTCTTAAAAATTCTTCCATTAACCTAACTGCAACCCCAGTCACCAGCGACAGCAGTGAGTCAGGTCACTGGGAAAACCAGTTCTTAGCACAGACGGGAAGCAACAAGAACTACCTTGAAATCTCAGAGTGACTCGTGTAAAGCACCCCACAGGGGCTCCATTCTGAGCAATCTGGGAGTGTAGATGAGCTGATCTACTACGGGCACAGTCAGGGGCAGGGCCTTGGCGCAGAGGGTCAGGGGAGCCTTACAGAGAAACCACACAGGGGTCCGTGGATAAAGCCACAGCTCGGTGTTATTCGTGATGGTTGTACTCCTATGCATTTTGTTCTATTCATTGAAAAAAGACCTGGCCCTGAAATCCCTGGCTCCACAGGTTTCCCTTGATTGGCGGAGTGGTCCGGGTCACAGTTTAGTAAGATGCTGAGGTCAATGTTTGTCTGTGCAGTGTGGGCAGGGCACAGACAGACTGAAAGAAACTGAAGTGAGGTCAGCAGCCCCCTTGCTAGATGGGCTGGGGCGATCATCTCTTGGACATACTGACTTTTGGCCCACCTTAGTGAGTGGCTCATATAGGGTCACTCTGAGTCAGGATTGACTTTGTAGCAATGAGTTTGAGGGAGCCCTGGTGGCGTGCTGGTTGGCTCAAGGTCAGCAGTTGAACCCAGTCCTCGTGGGGCTAGATGAGGTTTCCCCCCCCCCCCCACCGTTCACCACCTGTCTTCCAAGGGCTATGAGGAAAGTTAGCGGAGGTGGGTGTGTTCATTGAGGGGAAAGCCAGGGGAGGAGGGCCCTGTTGAGCACATCTGGGGGTCTCCTGGAGGAGCCAGTCCAGACCTGGCCAGAATGGAGAGAGCACGGAGGGAGCATGGTGGAGGGGCAAGGGTAAGGGAGGCACCGGAGGGAGCCCCTTGGTTCTGTAACCTGGTTTCACCACACTTCCCCTAGCGTGCTCTCGCCTCCCAAAGATCTGGAAGGTGCAGATGGAGAGGTAGACAGTAACGCACAGGCGATGCCCAAACATAACCCTGTTCTAAATGCCTACAGCAACTGAGGCACAGAAAGCAAGGGATTTGTCTGGGATGAAAAAGACTTGAACTCAGGCTGTCTCCCTTCAGGGTCCATGATCGGGGTGAGGACAGAAGGGACATCTCATATCTAGCTGGGCCCTGAAGCCACGGCTGGGAATCACGAGTATCTTCGCGTAGCTGGTCACCCACTGCCCAAGCCAGAGGCTGTGGTCCTGCAGCACGTGTCCAGGGCCTTGGGCCCAGCTGTGAAGGGGGCGAGGAAGCAGGGTCTCCAATGCAAGTGTAGACAGCTTGGAACAGCACTCAACACAGTGTCCACTCCTCTCTCCACCAAGTCTCCTTACAGGTTCTTCCCGCCCATCTGGATTTACAGGGAGGAGAGAATGCAGTTCAAGGAGCTAATTTTGGGTGACTAGCTAGAAGTAGCAAGGCCTTCAGGGAAAACAGCTTGGGGTCAACGTGTCCAAACTAGCCTCCCGGAAAGAGGAGGCAGGCTTCAAATAGGATGAGCCAGGACTCACAACCCTGGAGGCCAAGCCCTGCCACAGGGCTGAGAGGCTCTGGCTGAAACTCCGTGTGGGGGGTAGGGTGGTGGGGGGGACTCTCAGGGAAGATCACAGGGCTGCCCAGGGCGAAGGATGGGGTGAAGAAACAGGCAGGGAGGGCAGAGCCCATTCTAATGGGAGTTGAGGCTTCAGCCATGCCTAAAGCAACCAGGGGCTGAGTGGAAGGGTGGCAGGTTACAAGGCAGACTGCAATGCCCAATGGATGGTGAGGGAGAAAGCAGAAGTCTGCAGTGTGGTCCTCTGAGCTGCCTGGCCTCTCTCCTGGCCATCTGGTAGGCATGCACAGGTTGGCTCTGACCTTTGAAGGGGAGAGAGAGGATTGGAAGGGGCAGGTGTCCCATGACCCAGATGGATGAGGTTGCTTGGCAAGCTCTGGCTAATGGTGTGAAGGCAACAGTTCTGGGCACACAGCAAGGTTCCCCTTGGACATGGCAAGATCTCCTGGGCTGAGGAAACAGACCGGAGACATATCGGAATCCCCTGAACTCAGTGGAGGGCAGAGAGGCTCTGCTCTTCTCCACTACTGGTTAGATGGATGGGTGGTGGGCACCAAAGTCTCTAACTCCAAGCCAGGAGTTCTCACCCTTGCTAATGCTGCCACCCTTTAATACAGTTCCTCATGTTGTGGTGACCACTCCCCCCAACCATAACATTATTTTCGTTGCTACTTCATAACTGTAATTTTGCTACTGTTATGAATTGTCATGTAAATATCTGATATGCAGGATGTATTTTCATTGTTACAAACTGAACATAATTAAACATAAAGCATAGTGATTAATCAC